TTTTGATTAAACCTAAACAGAATTTGACAGTGCAACCTTTTCCTTATGTTAGAAATCTACAGCTGTGTGCCAAATATGCAAGATAAAAGAATACAACAGAACTGAAATAGTATAAAGATATGTTACAGAAAGCATACATTTTTATAGCAACATATTTTTTCCAGTTGATTCCACCCAGTCCAGCTCTCTTCAAATAATTGTCATTAATCAAATACAAATACAGGCCCCTTGGGTCCAACTCAGACTTGAAGCTAAACACATGTGTAAGTATTTGTTGGTCTGGAGTCTTAGTTTGTTGCAATATTATTGAAAAACATTACAGAATACATTTTTTCCCCTCCATCTTCCCTCCTCCTACCCAACAAATCAAATTACAGAGATTTTAATCTAATCATTTTGAAAAATGTTTTCATGTATGAAATATAGTCTTACCCTCTTCAATCCCCCCCCCCCGCCCCCCAAGAAATAGAAAGACAGAACAAATCTGCTTTTTCCATTGTCAGCAGCAGATACAGTCAAGAATTTTGCTTTAAATCTTGCAGATGGACAGCAACTTCAGAGCCACACAGTGCAAACAGTTATGGAGGAATCAAGTAAGCTTGTTAGGTGTTGGCTCACACAAATCAAGGGAAGCAGGAGCTAAGGTTCAGGTAGTCTGCTGCTCCCTGAGGCAGTTCCTCCAAAGATGCAAGAGATATAGCAGCCTTCCAGCAAACAACAGGCACCTGGATTTGGCCTCAGAACAAGCACTTCAAATTTGGCCAGCCTGTATGCTCAACTGTTAAAACAGCATCAAAACCCCTCACATCACTGGATGAAATCTAATCAATTTCAGTATGATGTTTTATCGTTACAAAGACAAGCATTTTGCTTTTCTACTATTCAGTACCTAAAAAGTTATATTCCTGAAGAAAGTTTTGTATATATACATATGCACAGATGTAAACATATGCACACTTATTGTATGTATGCATACATAACATATCCACATATGCACATAGACCCACAGCTTAAAAAAGTCCAAAGCCCAGGAACCCATGGTAACCTGACAGACTCAAAGAAGCCAAGAAAGCAGAAAGAAACATAAAAGCAGAATGTGGCCTTCCCCACTCATTGCAGAGAACCTAGAACACTTCGCACGACCCCAGGCTGCAATAGCAACCTCAGCCATGTCTTTTGTGGAAGGCTCCTTTCCGCAACACACTCCAACATTTTGCATTTCTCCTCTCCATGAAAGAGTCTTTGGATATACAAAAATCAACTAGCCCTGAACATACATATTTTTTCCATTCTCTAACATACCATGACACATAGCTGTGTTTCCAGCTCTTCCATTACTTGCTGTAGCAGAAGGATCTTCCATTTCCTTGTCTTTCTGTGATGGACTTTCCAAGGAAACCTATGTTTTGGAATTTGTTCTGAAGTAGGATGTAACATCTGGGAGAAAACAAGGCACATTTATGCTTCAGTCTTGTTCTTGAAAAAGTGTTTGCCCTGAGAATGTCTCAGTGGAGTAAACTTTCCACCTTCCCTTTAGAAACACATTAGCTTGAAAGAGAGCATGCAGATTTCTAGAAAAACAACAAATGAATTTACAGATTTACATGGTACCTTTTCCACACACTTTCTGCAAAACTCAGACATTAACAGAATGACAGATGAACTACTCAGGTTCTTTGAGATCAAGGAGAAGGCGCTCTAAGAGGAAAGAATGCACAGAGGCCAAGGGTCAAGGTATACCTCAAAAGTTCTCGGTTATCTATTTCACCATGAACCAAATGCAAAAACAGAAATAGACTTCTTAATTCCACCCTTTTTCTTCCCTCTTCTTGTAGTAGGGGGATTTGCTTAATTCTTTACAGCTGACCCAGGCCTTCTACCCCCTGACAACCTTTGTGTTAAGTTTACGGCATGCAGCTGCGGTCCTTCTGCTCAGGGCAAGAATGTTAACCCTTCCCCTGACAATCCTTGAACTGGTTATTATACGCAGTCCATCAGATGAATCTGATTTGAGACACCACCAGATGGTTGTTATTTAGGTGAAAGCAGACCCAAATAGAATAATAGTCCAAAATACTATTAGGTCAGTTACTGAACTACTGATTTGTGATTAGTAGTTGGAAAAAAGAAATATGTTGGCATGAAGAAGGGGCATAGAGCAGAACGCTGAGTTTGTCAGTCCCTTTGCACTCCTGTTCTTGAAGAGCTTTCAAATCTAAGCAGAAAGCTTTTTCTGCCATCAACTATCTTGTTGGGAGGCTTGGGTCAGGTTTTTTTAAATGAGCTGTTCTGAAACACAAACTTTCTTAAGGAAAGGTTGAACATAATTCACAGCAGAGCCAGAAAACGAGAGCCAACCTTCCACTGGCACTTCTGCATCTGAAAAGAGAAGAAAATTGACACCTGGAAATGCTGACATTTCGGAAAACGAATCTTAGCCATTTTGAGCACAAGTAGGATGCTGGCAAACAGTGTGACATTGAAGTAGGAGGAATGTAGAAGTACTTACAAAACAAAACAGAGAGGACTATTAAGGAACAAATATATGAGCATTCAGCAGTGCCACGGCTAATTAATTTGTATGACTGCCTTTCAAATCACAGACTGAACCTGGTAGATGCTACTCATCTTTCTCCTCATAACAACTGCACAGATATTAACATTAATGCCTGAAGTAGTCCATTGAAACTGTTGGCTTTATACAGCCTACCTCAAATCAAGATGACTGTTTCCTTTAGGACTGTGGAGATAGTCAATATTTCAGTTGGGAGGCCAAGTTATACACTAATTTGATTCAGGCTGAACTGAGTTCAGATTTCCTTTGTATTTGCTTTCCTCACCAAAGTGAAAAACTGAAAAAGCTCTGCTTCACAGAAAATAAAGCAGGCAAATAAGACAAAGGACTGGACTCTGATGCTGTAGATAAGACCTCCATCATTCCATCCACCAAAACACTATCAAACCAAACCTCTACAGTACAAATAAAAACATCAGCTTCTGTTCCATTCTCTGTCAGAGGTTCCTTTCCTCTTGGAATCATGATCAACCTATGATATATGACAGCATGCTGTTTTACCAGCTTCCCCAGCACCTCCAGAGCCAACCCCTCCCTTGCTTCAGGTGAGTGATATTGCCACCTGACCAGTGTGCCTCAACTGGAAGTGGCCCTAGGGAGGTACAGGGAGGATTTCTCCATCCCACAGGACATGCAGTGCAGGTTTTAGTTGTCTCTTTGTCCAATCTCTTTCCTGTAAACCCAACATCACCCAGTTGTGGTGATGAGGATGTCTGCCTATACAGAGGAGCACTGGAGGCACCAGCCGAAACAGCCTGGGTTAAGCAACCAGTACAGTTTTAAAAAAGCTTTTCCTGCAAACTAGACATTTTCAACCTGATGTTCTTGAGACAGTTGTTTGTTCCCTGGATCAAACGCATAGACCCCTTCTAGCACTGGGCACCAAGCTAGCGCCCAAGACCCCTCTCTCCACTATTACAAAGGACAGAGTAGCATGACCAATCTTCCAGCAGGGCATCATCTGTTACAAGTTACCAGTAGGGTGGGTGAACACAGCCTAAACACCTCCACAACTGAGGAGTTCTTTTTACGCTGACCTGCTCTCCAGTGGTCTCCACATTGTTCCTTATATCCTGTCGTTCAGATGCTTTCTTCATTCAAACTAGTTGACAAGCTGCTTAGGAAAGCAAATGATTTCTGAACAATCATATGCTCTACAGATTAGTAGTGCTTTATAACAATTCAGAGAACAAAAAGATATAACAACGGTCGGATTGCAAAAGCAAATAAAGCCTAGACATTATAAGGTTTACATACACTTAATCCAAGCAGAGGACAATTGGAATTAATTTAGTTCTTGCACTTCAATATATCATGCATGTATACAAAAGGAATGCTTGCAAATCAAAAACAATTTGCAAGCAAAATAAATAAATAAATAAATAAAGAAGAAACCGAACCCAGAAACAAATCTGCAGCACTCAGTTTGCTCATATGGTGGGTGCATTTTTGTCCCATAATACTAGCCCTGTGGGTTTTTTCCTTTTCTTTCTGTACTTTTGTACCTAATCTGTTCTTTCTAATACTTCAACAAGTTTGGGTTGTTAGAGGGTTTCCTATATAAGAAAACAGCAGAATCATCATCACAGTTCGTGGACCCTTCAACTTAAATAGTATGCATGCATGTTATTTTCAGAGACACTGTTTTTCATAAGTAAACCCATATACCAAAGTTTACAGAGCTGGAGATTTTGTGGGTCATAGCACAGAAATAATCTTTCTCCCAAACCTGCTTGTTGGTATCAAGTTGTTGGATTTTCATCTCGTTATTTATGGAGAAAGTAACCACAATCTTCCAAGCCTGTCACTGGAGACTACTTCCCCAGCTCAGCTGAAAGGTAGTCGTATCTGCGGGCCTGAAATCACTGCAAGGGTGGAAGGCTTCGGTTTGTTTCTTGAAAGATGGGATTATAATGGAAAATAGGTTAAAGAAATAGCACTGGTGGTATAATTTGGCAGAAAAATAAAGGATGTCCAAACAAAAGGGTTTGAATTTCTGGAAAAACAATTTTAGTTTTGAGCCAGCACTGTCTGGACTGAGGGAGAAAAAAAAAAAAAAAAGATTTACACCTTTTTTGAAACTTGAACCCATTGCCTGAAGTATTTAAGAAAAGTCAGAATCCTAAGGAGTAAATTTCTTGGGTTGCCGTTTCCAGTGAGTAAGTTTGATAAATAAAACTTAATTTTTACATCTGCCATGGATTCTGGGCTATGATTAATAGCTTTAGCGTCGTGGCCAGTAGCCAATGTATGTATGTGATTACAGCAATCTTAAATATAGTACATTTTGAATAAATATGCCACATAACAGTATAAGAAACACCCCCTGCATGCCTGGAAACAAAACTTTGTCCCAATGTCAAGTCTTAAATCCTTATGAGAGTTAAACAGCACAGAGATCATCAGGCAGGCTGACAAGAACACAGGGTGCTGCTGGCATCAGCTCAAATTTGGGAGCTCAGTCACTGAAACACTATTTCTGTCCATTTCATTTCAGCTGATTTGCTGCATTATGGTTGTGGGGAAAAAAAAAAAATTAGTTTAAAAATTAGAGTTGCATAACTCGGGTTTCATGAGCTGTACAATTTTCCTCTCCTCTTCAAAGGGCAGCATGCTCTCACCTGTGCTGACAGCAGCAGAAGGATAACAGAGAATCACCAAACTATTGTATGTCCACCACAGAATTACTCATTTCACAGAGTCCTGCAAGGAAAAAATTACTGGGATTTCAGGGGAAACACAGAACATCTTTAAAATCCCTTTATCTCTGGGACAGGAAAATTCTCTTCCACCTCTCACCTTACCTTTGTGCTTTTATCCCTTCAGCAGCCTTGCTGCTGCTGGCACTCCCTTCAGCATCTCCATTTCTCTTCTCTGCTGAAGAAAACTGATTGGCATGAGCAGCATATGCACAAGACAATCACTTTTAGGTAGCAGCAGCAGAAGTGGAAGCGCCTGGAATTTCAGAGCTTAAATAGGGCTTGTTCAAGCCAATCAGTAATTTTAGCTTTAGTACTGGCTATCAGGGTCTTAACAACTTTTTAAATGAAAACTTGCTCCGTGCACCTGCCTTTTGTGCAACAGGTTTCAAGCTCCTGAGCTCCATTCGTCAGCCCCCTCACTTTACAAAGCGGAAGGTAGACTTGCAGTGCTTTTAGGATGTCTTTATTCTAGAGCACCACATCTGTCTTTAGCAGAAATCTCAGACACCAGCTTCTTAGTTCCACAGAACTGTTCAGGGCAGAGATTTTTGCAGATAGATACTCAACATCAGCTCCAGAACAGAAATTCAACAGTAATCCTATTTTCTTTAGGGAGGGAGAAGGAAGCTGCTAACAGCTGTCCTCTGCCTGCCTCCAAATGAGCCAGGTTTCACCTGCTGGCATTACATCCCTTGCCTAATTACATTCTTAATCACTTCTAAAAGCAGGGCTCGCTCTGCTCTAAGTAGGGAACTCCAAGCCAACATTAAGCAGTATTGACATCCAGTGGAGAGTTAGAATAATTACAGGCATGCAGATAACTGAGTGCAAGAGTCCTGTTTAAATTCTTAGTTCAGCTCAAAGAGAGCAGTCTATTTACCTTAACCTAAAGGTATGATCTTCCTAGAAGACACAAACGAACCTTATCATCTTCTCTTTGTTAGGAAAAATTGGAGTAACATCATATACACATTCTACTGTTTCTTTCTTAAGGGACCTCTTTGCATGTAGCTGCCTTTCCTCCCACAGTTCTGTTATAGCTGTTAAAATTGATGTCTGGGATGCAGACGTTGTTGCTTTCTTCCAGAAATAAGATATCAAAATGTGTGTCTGATTGTTTTCCAGGACAAACCTGCCTCTAAAAGCAGTATTATAAGGCAATTTACGGATATGGAGTCTCAGGCTTTATCATGACTCCTGAAGATTAGAGAAGATGGACATACATGAATCACTGAAGAGTTTTCTCAGTGCTGTGGATGCAGCGTGCAAATTGCAGCAAGGGAAGAATCAGTATAAGATTTGGAGATTTTGGTCATAATCTCATCAACACTAGTCTTAGAATTTAGTAACCTCCTCTGATCCTGATAGACTCATGACTCATGTAAGTAAAGCTTTAAAGTTTAAAACATTAATTTTCTCCTGCAAAATCAATTGACTACTCATCATAAAACTAACAAGTTGTGAGTTCACAGCAATCAAAAGCTGAATAACTTCTGATAAAAGTAGTGAAAATCAGGTAAAAATCAGAAGACAGAAAGAAAAAAGAAAACCCAAACTATAATAAACCTCTGTCTTTACCACTGTCTTCTCTTTCTGTTCACTCTGGGAACACTGGAATGCCAGTTATCAGTAGTAGAAAACAGAGTCTGCAGAATGGTCCTACAAAGATGCAGAGAGCAGGGTGTCCAAGTGTCCAAAAATGCAGATCTGTGGGAGTGTGGTGTACCCCTCTCCAAGTGTATCCTTGGGAGAGATGCTTTTTTAGATGCTTTAAAGGCATCTGGCAGTATCTACATGCCATTAGTATTAGACAGTCCCCTGAGCAATTAACAATAGAAGCATCCTAAGGGATTGCTGGACGGGAAAATCTCTGGCTCACACTCAGTACCTCCCTCTGTCCAGGTGATTCTCCATTAGCAGCTCTCCACAATGGTGACCTGAATGTAACTCACCCCAGCCCAAGACATTTGCTGAGATTTATTTCCAAAAGCTTGGTCACACACTGCTGAAGTATGCATCCACCTTGCTTAAGATGCCAAAAGCATTGCCATCAGGAGCACCTGCCTCACAAAAGATCCTCAGATCAGGGCCTCCTTGAGGTAACACTGCATGCAGTGACGAGTGGAGAGCTGCCTGCAGCCATCAAACATGGGATAGACCCCAGAGATGCTTGAGGAAGTCTGCTTATAACAAACATCCAGCTCCTGGGTGGTGCAGCAAACAGTGTAGGTAGGTAGCGTGTTTCAAATAGACAGAAAAAGCACACAAAAGACAGTTTTACAGTATGATATCTGCCTGTATGTGTGTAAAACACCACTGTTTTTGTGAGATCAAGGTAACAGCAGACATTTTTGCTGGTAACTGTACACATGCTGCCACTAATTCTCATGCTGTAGCCATCTCATAGGTTAAGTTAAGGTATCCAGTTAATCATTCTCTCTGGTTACCTCCCAGGCTGATTCACTAGCATAATTTAATTGCTCCACCTGCCCTTTAACTTAGGGTTTCTCCTTGTCACACAGAAGGACACTATTGTCACACAGAAGGACACTAATTAGTCCCTACTCTCAATAATGTCTACTCTTTCTGCAAAAGAAAATAATTCTGTTTAATATATTCATTTAATTTGTCCTCAGTCCATAATTACTGTTGATTTTCCCGGTTTGTCTTGTTTCTATTCTGATTGCTCTTGACTTCTCTCAATTAGCTGATTACCCTGGGATCTTTCCCAGTATGAATGACAGGAAATGCACTACAAAGACCTGTACTTAATAGATTTTCAGGTCTCTGATTAATTTGTTATGTTTCCAAGGAAAACATTGCAGGAAGCCACAAATTACAGGGCTTATAAAACAAGTACATAAAAGTGTGTGCATGAGACTATTTAAAAAACAACAACAACAAAACAACAGAGATATTTGAGAAAGACCAGCAAAGAATGTTCAATTTCTAAGTACAAATCTAACTGTACTACACCAGCTATTTTTTAATGACAGGCACACTAACTGGCTAGTAGGAACATCCTGGTGTTTAACAACCGAAGAGGTCTAGATCACTTCTGACAGAGCCATGCCCAAGTGCTGTCCCTCCAAACCAGCTCACAAACTGTCACCATCCAGGAGAATGTCCATCATGCTCTGCTTGTTTAGTTTACTCCCTTTCTTCCTTGCTGGTGATATTCTCCAGCTTTCTACTGGCATTAGGTAGGAAGGAGCTGCTTGCAGCTCCCACATCAGGTTGCAGGTCAGTGCCATGTGCACACCATGAGGAGAGGTAGCAGCACAGGAGCCAGCTTAGTACGCAGCACCTGCGGGGTGTCATGGAATCTAGTACAGTGTTTCTTATGCATTGTTGAGAATTTCTTAAACCAATCACTGTGTTATAAGAAGACTTTATCACCACAGGCATTTGTGCTGATACTCTGGCATCAGGGCCAAGGGATAAGAGGTACTGACAGCTTCCTTACTGTGCAAATGTAAGGGGCTATATACAGCTCTTTACCTCACACCACCCAATAAACACATGGTATTCTTGTTTGTATGTTTGCTTGCTTTTAATGACACATCTGAATCCTATTGCCTTCAAAGTAAAATGTATAACCAGGACCAAATCATTCTGCCTGACTCTACATACTAATTTTTTTTCAGGATGTGCAGATGCTTACTGAGCTTACTGACGTCTATTCTTCTTTGCCTTAAAACTTGTGCTTGCATAGCCACTGTTAGAAATGGGTGGTAGTCCATTCTGCAATCAGTTCTTTTACAAAGTTCTGAATCCATTTGTAGTTGTTACAGATTTTTTTTTTGTTGTTGTTTGTTTGTTTGTTTACATCAGTACCTAATGTAAGTAAACCTGGAAACTCGCCCATTTGTCCCTATCATTGAAAATCATCTCTGTTATTAATAGGTTGAGTCAAATGCAAGTGTTACATGGAGTCATATGACTCCACATCCTGGAGATTTAAGATAAAGGTGAACGATCATGAAATAACTTCCCAATTCAGTGTACTTAAGCTTCAGAGTGGATCCATCTGGCAAGCAGGAGGTGTCATTCACAAAAGCTAACTTCTAAACCATCCCACTAACCTTTGGATATTCACTTTAGTTCTGGACACTGGAGGTGATTTATGGGTTCTGTTTTTAGTCCCTCTTTTGTGACCATCCATCACCTTTTCAATTCTTGTGAGACCTCATTAATTCCCCAGTACAATTGTCCAGAGATTTCCTAGAGCTGGAGAGTTAGATCCTTAATGATGTTGCAGAACAAGGTTTTGTTCACTATAGCTTCTTATTCCCTCAAAACCAAGAACCACAGACTTGCCTTAGATCTTAACATTTTAAATTTTCATCAAAAAGAAAGAATTGAAGACAGTACTCCTGACCTCTCCCATTCTTATCATAAATCCTCATGTCTGATAAATGCTTAGCCTCCTTTTTCTTTCATGTGCCATACATCTAAGGTGCCAGAAATAAACGATTGTTCCATCCCTCTCTTCCCAGACTGTTGTAAGCTCTCAGAGCATTTACAAAATATGTGAGAGCTGCCATCTCTACACTTAGATGAGGATTCAGGATGCTGCCAGGTACTCTGTCTGTTCTAGCTGAAATAATCAAATGCCATTTAATCAGGATTCATTTAGAGACCATACAAGCAGTGCAACTTTCCCTTTGTGGATCTTTTGTAAAGAATATTTGAACTTATGCTCAACTAACTGGGATAACTGGGATGCCTTCTCAGCCTCAGACACATGTTCCACTAGATCACACAATGTCCTATTTGAGTCTCTGGTCTTTTGCTGCTTAAAAAGAGTGTTTCCTGCTGTAAGAATGTTTTTGCAGGATGTAACCTCTTGCCTATGCCTACATCAGTAAATAGGAAACCAGCAGTGCAGGCTCACACTCTGGTTCAGCACAACAGCACTGAAGCATACAGTGCAGTGACTGCTGGTGCTCTCACACCTGCAACCCAGGTCTGTTCCCAGTGATATCTCTGCTTTGAGAGGGCCGTCAGCTTGGGGCTTCAGACATCACTGGTGCCACGCCAGCTGGCCCTTAGAGCAAAGAATGTGCCCTGGCATGTTCCAGTTAGTGGTGTGGGCTCTGCCTCTCAGACAGCATCAAAATATTTATTAAAAGTTATATCAGATTTATGGTTTCAAACAACTTGTTTATCTGTATTCTTTCCAAAACCTAATAGCCGGAAAGATGAGAATGCATTATGTGC